AGGCTTTTCGCCCGCTCCTTGACGGAGGCCTTTGCTCTTGCGGTTCTTAGCCATTGCTACTAAGATAATTGCAAGATGATCTTGGTTAGAAATTTGGCTTAAAGATTTTTGAAAGTCTTCCCCACAGACAGCGTCAAATTGTTTCGGGTGAAAACAATGGACCTTGCCGAAGGTCCGCTGAAACGGAGAAGACTAGATTCGGTCCAAGTTATGTTGGGCCGAAGGTTTCCTGCACAGTAAAACACACGTAAACTAGCCTCGGGGGTGTTGCCGAGGAAGGCCCCTCCGATGCTAAAGTCGGTACAATGTGTAGGAAAGAGAACACTATGCAAGAGAATTAGTGCTTGAGGCTTTTCTTGAGTATATGAGAATATATGAGAATGTATGGGAATCTATGAGAATATGTGAATGAATGTGAATCTCCCTTAAAAATGTAATATTTGATGGGCTTTTATACCTTCTTCATACATGGAGAAGTTGGGCTTAGCCCAATTGGCTTGCTGAGAGGGCTGATATTTGACTTTAGCACAATTGGAGAGTTGAACCTTGACCTTGGGCTTTTAATTGGATCATTTAATGCCTAGGCCCAATTGGACTAAATTGGACCCCAAACAGTTTGTAAAATAAGGTAAAAACGAAGTATAATGAATTTCATTCAATTTCGCATGCATGACTTAAATATTATGTGAATGCAGCGTACTGTTGTACACCTAACGCATCAAATACATTTGATGGCACGTGCACGACAACTACACACGCGCACCATGCCCATGCCTTTACCTATCGCAAGAATTGGATTTAAAAATTACAACTGCATAAATGATACAATTATACAAGTATTATTTGAACTGATGTGTAATTTACGAGTATTTAGATTTTAGAATAAGATAAAATATATATGTACGTAAATATGTATGAACTTTATTATACATAATCGTAAAATATAATATGATGTAATATATACATATTTTTTTTTTTACCCCGTAATCCGTATGCATGTACCCCTTTTCCCTTCTTTAAGTTTTTTGTTAGAGTATCCCCTGACTCTCTATTTTGGATGAACAGGACTATATATGGCTTGTGCTACTTGCTTCGTCTATTTTTTCATGATCCGATTGATTGCGTATTTTGCAGTTTTAGGTAAATTAATTTGTACAATTAGGATGATTCTTGATAAACTAAATCATTAAGATATTTCTTACACTACTAGGTTTTTTTTTTTTTGAAAAAATCTAATAATTTAATTGCAATTTTGGCAGCGTTGTTGGTAATAATAACTGTTGCAGTCCTTAAGCTTCTAGGAGAATGGACTAGAGATACAGAAGAAAGCGAAAGTAACCCTTTGATGTCCCAATGTAACATCAATAAGATAGTAACAACAAGCTATGGAACATATGAGCACGATCTCGAGTCCGAAAATTGCAGCAATAATGATAACATTAGTACCAACTCTAGCAAAGGTTCAGCATTATACGATGCTAATATATGCATAATTTGCTACGACGAGCAGAGAGATTGCTTCTTCGTACCTTGCGGTCATTGTGCTACTTGTTTTGCGTGTGCTCAAAGGTAATGTACACTACAAGTTCCTCATCCTAGTTTTTTCTTTCATTTTTAGCTTTATTGTCACTCAAAGATTTTTTTCCCCCCCCTTTAAAGATTGAACTACTTTTGCTATTATTTGCTATAGTGGTACTGGTTGCGTCTTTGTCTAATTGTACGTTTATATACATTTGCAGGATATTTTATGAAGAGAATAGGCATTGTCCTGTATGCCGAAGATTCATTGGAAAAATTAGAAAATTGATAAGTTTTTATGATAATTGACAAATTGATTGGTGTTCATTCATTTTCAAGGTGTACTCATCAGAACCTATCATCATTTTTCAAAGAATTGTGCATACCCCTACAAAATAATTGTCGTACATATTCTTTTTTAAAAGTTAAAAGTACGTATTATGTGCATTTAGATCTAATAACCATACTCATCAGAACCTATCGTCATTTTTCAAAGAATTGTGTATATCCCTACAAAATAATTGTCGAACATATTCTTTTTTAAAAGTTAAAAGTACGTATTATGTGCATTTAGATCTAATAACCATATACTTTGTATTATGGTTTATCAGTAGTTAACTTGAAGAAGTAATGGTCGTAAACTATATGCTAATCTTTCTTCCCCTCTTTTTACAAGTGCTTGACTTGACAAAGAACAAAGCCCTTAGTAAATATGGCCTAATGGCCCATACGATGGATCTCCAGGCCCAATCTCAATAAAAAATAGCAGCCCAGTCCTTAAAATTCCAAATGTGTTGTAAAGCCCTTACCACAAAATTTAGGCTGTTTGGCCCAAACTCCCAAAGCCTAGGCATAGATGATAAACTATTTGAATTTTGAAGGTCCAATAAACTTTATGGTGGTCTCTATATACTACTATAACAAACTCGTGTGAGATGAAAATATACAGCCATACACCAATGGTCATTTCTTAATCATTTGTTCATTAGAATTTTAATTTTGATCATAGTGCTTAATTACCATTTTTTTTGACACAGCTAAATCATCATATTTGGCACACTTAACAAGTTAAAAAACTAACAACAACCTAAAAAAACAAACACATTTTTTTTATGGGTCATGGACTCATGGTTTATGACAAAACCACAATTTGATGTTATCTTCATGTTTAGATGGTGATAACATAATATCAACTATTGATGTATAATTTTAGCTTGCCCTATCAAATTATGGCATTAGCTCCGTACAAAAAATGTTGAGAGCTATTCTAGATTTCTAGCTCAAATAGTGTTCTTTCATATGCGAAGTATGTTTTAATTTATAAAAGGGACGTTAAAACTTTTGTCTATATCATTAATGATGGGTTTATTATCAATTTCTTTTCATTTATGTTTAGATGAAATTTACATTATTGCATTTTGTAACTCTATAGACGACGAAAAGACGCTCCTGCCCCCTAGGCCCTAGCTAACCAAGAATGAGCAAGATGTGTGTAGAAGTGGGAAATAAGTGGCGAAAGCGCGAGCTTCACACAAGCCATTGATAAGACAACGACGTAGAGCATCTTGTGGACTTGTGGTGGCCCTGCACACTTGGCGGCTTCCTTCTCCGCTCACTTTCCTTACACTTTCGTTTTCTTGGACTCAATCAAATCTTTATATCTTTCCTCACTTCAGCACAAAATTGAACCTAAGAAAAAAATAATAATAACAGCCAATATGATTCCTGTTTTCTTAGAATTTGTCAGAACATATCTTTTTCAGTATAATGAAGTTCGTTTTAGTGATTGGAGTAAAAGAAATATGCCATGGAATGAACCAAAGTGCGGTTTAAAATAATCGCGCATCAGGCATCACCTTCAATTACTCCAAAGTCCAAACGAAAGGTATCAGTCGTATTTACACTTCAGTTCTTATCAAGATACTTCCTCCGTTCTATTAATAATGCAACAATGGACTTTTTGCAATATTCATCACTCTAATTTGATCATATAATATGATTTATACGTTAAGGAAGATATAGTCATGTGAGATCTTGTTGGATTCGTCTCATAAAATACTTTCACAATATCAAATTTCTATAATTTTTACTCTTACACAATTATAGATATTTATCATATAAAATGTGCATAGAGATGCGTAATTTGTTGCAATATTAATAGAACTGAGGAAGTATTAAGGAATAAAGTTTGTACATATATACAAATAAATGGAGTATAATATTGTTGCTAGGTATCTTCAAGTTCACACCATCTATTATTCTCCGTAATGTCATTGTCATTAATGATCATTGTGTATTATCATATATAAAAATGGACTTGTATATTTGGATATACAATAAATTTCAATTAAGTTTGGATAAATACGGATAAGATACTATTTAATTTTATTTTACAAATAAAAAATTTCACAAATAAAAATCAGTTTTTATACATAGATTGCCTTGTAACTAATCACTTTTGGATTCAATTCTTTAAAATTCTATTTTTCTTACCTCATTTTAGCTATTTGTGTTAGTTTAAAAAAGTTAATTACTATTTAGTAATTCGAAAGTTGCACATAATATTTAACGAAGGTAGTATTTTATTTTTTTGATGTATGTGACATGGCAATTTACATGCCACATATGATGATCACATTATGACAAAACATCCACATTTCCCATGAGCTTGAAAATTTCAAATAGACTTGGTTAGTAACCCAAAATAGTCAAATAGACCACTTCCTCAAACAAGGTCAGTTTTCCACTTTTACCTTAAAAAAATAAAATTTGGAGTACCATTTTAAAAAAAAAAATTAAAAATTAAAAAAACATTAGTAAAATCTGCAAAACTGGTAGTTAACTTTCTCTTCCCGCATCTATATATTCGCCATTTCTTGATTTCTTCTTATCTCACTCCTCCATCCAACCACCTTTTTCTCTCTCCTAAAAAAATGGCTGACCCTCACGAACCACTCCTCTCCGCCGCCACAAACTCCGACGAGGGAGAATTCGAGCCAACAGAAAAAGTCCACGTGGTAGGAATCAACGAAAACGACGCCGCATTAGACGACTCCAAAACGCCGCCGTTTTCATGGAAAAAACTCTGGTTATTCACTGGACCAGGGTTTCTGATGAGCATAGCATTCTTAGACCCAGGTAACTTGGAAGGTGATTTACAGGCTGGTGCGATTGCGGGCTACTCTCTTCTATGGCTACTGTTTTGGGCCACTGCTATGGGCCTGCTGATCCAGCTCCTGTCGGCCCGTCTTGGTGTTGTAACGGGCCGGCACTTGGCTGAGCTTTGTCGTGATGAGTACCCCAATTGGGCCAGGTATCTGTTGTGGGTAATGGCGGAATTGGCGTTGATTGGGTCGGATATTCAGGAAGTTATTGGAAGTGCTATTGCTCTTAAGATTTTGAGTCATGGTTTTTTGCCCCTTTGGTGCGGAGTTCTCATTACTGCTTCTGACTGGTAATTTACTGCTTTATTTTATTTTCCAATCTCGATTTAGTTATCACGTTACTAATTATTTGAGTAGGTTATTATCAATGTGCCAATTAATTTGGTACCAAGCAAATATCTTTAATTGAGTATCTTTGCCAATTCATACGGAGTATTTAATTTGGCTGAATTTTTTTTTTCGGTATAATTAAAATGTTGTTGTCAAGGGTTGCATGAGTCATGACTCATGAGTAAGGCATATTCCCTATTAATTTTGTTTAATAAATGAAATGAAATTCAGAATTTTACGTTTGCTATATTTAATTTGGTGGGCGCTAAAAGAAAGGGAATAAAAAGAAAATTAAATATTGTCAATAAGCTCATTCATATTCGGAGTACATCCTATTTGGTGGGACGAAGGGAGTAATAGATATAGCTTTACGAGTATAATTGTCTATAATCTCATTCATATTTAATTTGGTGGGCTTATTTTCACTTGCAATTTTTTATATACACGCAGATGTATAATAGACATAGACATAGACATGTTGGATTTCACACTGAAGGGTCAATGTAACAGTGTAATAGAATTATGCAAATCAGTTAATGCAGTTAAAATAAGTGCAGTAGTAAATCTCTGCTTTATTACCCAGTAATCGACTTTACTAGTTAAGTAGATTTTGAGTCTACTTGACTGGTTGAAACAGACTTAAACAATTTCTACTTTAGTGATAAAGTCCACTCTCACAGTCTCACTTATTAATTGTTGTGTTGAATTTGTTATACAAACTAAGGTCTCTAATATGCACCAAAATTTGAAAATTTTGGCCTGAGTTTTCTTGGCATGGCTTGGCTTATTGTTGGGACATGTACAAGATATATTAGGGGCTAATATTTGGCGCTCAATCTAGCTAGTAGTTGTAAAACTTACTGTGAGTGTTTCTATTGCAGTTTCATGTTTCTATTTCTTGAAAGCTATGGTGTTAGGAAGCTTGAAGCCGTGTTTGCTGTCCTTATTGCGACAATGGGTCTCTCTTTTGCATGGATGTTTGGTGACACAAAGCCTAGTGGTTCAGAGCTCCTTGTTGGTGAGTGAATTCCCCCTGAAACACCACATTACTATCTAGCAGACTAGCAGTGTTTAGTGATAGTGGGATACATTTCCTGTTTCTTTGCTAAATGGTCGAATGGCTTTTCATTCTTGCAGGTATTGTTGTTCCGAAGCTGAGCTCAAAAACAATTCAACAAGCTGTCGGTGTTGTGGGCTGCATTATTATGCCTCATAATGTGTTCTTGCATTCTGCCTTGGTACAATCAAGAGATATTGACAAAACCAAGCGTGGGCGGGTTCAAGAAGCACTCAATTACTATTCAATTGAGTCCACTCTTGCCCTCATTGTCTCTTTCATCATTAACCTGTTTGTCATGACCGTTTTTGCTAAGTCATTTTATGGCACACCGGAGGCAGAGACTATAGGCCTCGTGAATGCTGGTTATTATCTGCAAGAGAAGTATGGGGGAGGGTTATTCCCAATTCTATACATATGGGCCATTGGTTTGTTGGCCGCTGGCCAAAGCAGCACTTTAACGGGAACATATGCTGGGCAATTCATCATGGGTGGATTTTTAAACCTTCGGCTGAAGAAATGGATAAGGGCATTGATCACACGAAGTTGTGCAATCATCCCGACTATCATTGTTGCTCTTTTATTTGATACGTCTGATGACATGCTAGATGTCCTGAATGAATGGCTAAACGTGCTGCAGTCTATCCAGATACCGTTTGCTGTCATTCCACTCCTTTACTTGGTTTCCAAAGAGGATGTCATGGGTGATTTTAAAATTGGTCCTGTTCTCAAGGTATGCTAAATCTAGCTTTACTCTGCTTGGCAGACGGAATTTTGGTTTTTTTATATTTCACATGCTATTTTGGTCATATATGGTTGATTTAACTGTATAGATTTGATATTTATGAAAACAACACACTTCACTTAAAACAATTATCCATTTTTAAATATTTGTCCTGCTACCAACAGTCATTTAACATATTCTGCAGACCCTGCTTGCTGAGGTGTCGGTGAGACCTGTGATAATTTTAGCATAAGTGAGTTAAAATTAATGAGAATGAAGTGAATCTGAGAAAATAGCATAATCATCTAATAATTGCATTTATATTCTTGTTGCCATATTCTTTATACGTAGTATGTAAGGATCACTATAACTGTTTCTAGAGCTTTTTAAGGTTTTTATTTTTGTCTCTCAGAAAGTCAGAATCATATCAGGTGGTTCTTCATGTTTTGTTCAAAAGCTAAGCATGTAGCTTTCCATTTGTTAATCTGTTTACAGACACTGGCTTGGCTTGTAGCAGCCCTGGTGATTGTGATCAATGGGTATCTGATGGTGGAATTTTTCTCCGGGGAAGCAAGAGGATTGTTGTTTGGCTCCATAGTAAGTGTTTTCACTGCTGCTTATATAGCATTTGTTGTATATTTGATTTGGAGGAGTGTTACCTTCTCATCCTGGTTTAGCTCCAATAAGTCGAAGAATGTTGTGGCCGTTGTAAACTAATTACATGTTTACTGTGCACCACCCCCGTTGATTAGCAAAGGGCCAAAATAAAAGGGGATACCAATTACCTAACAGAAGAACTAATCTACTGTCATCTCGCGTTCCATGCATGTTCATCTTCCAGGCTGAGTGTGGTTCATTTTTTTTAGATTTCCACCCTAATTATTATTGAAGGGCCAGATTTGTACAAAGCTAAGGAGCTGGTCTACTGTATTTCCCTCTTTCTTCTATTTTTGAAGGTATGAAACCGAATTTAGGCCTTCTTTCTCTCGGGGCCTATTTGTATATCGTTGTGCCATATGAAGTCAAGTAGAGCATATTTTTTCACCTGACAGTGGTCATGCCTTTCCTTACTTATTATGAGAGAAAGAAAAAGGGAGTTCTATGTTTCAGCAAATTTGTAATACAAGTAGTTTTTCAGCAATATGTACAGTGAGCACAATATTATTACAATGTACTGCAAGGGTTGCTGCAGGTGGTATGACCATCATTGCCAACCAGCAGATAACTCCTCTCTGTAAACCTGTGGAAGTTGTTTATCTCAGAAGACTAAAGTGGAAGCAAGTGTGCTTTTTATTCACATGCTTAGCTTCAATTTTTACTCATTATTTAGGTTCTATACTTTTTAAAGTCTGATGAATGCTGAGTAATTTGAAAATATATAGCATTTGCATATACGGAGAACTTTTGCATATACGGAGAACTTAATCTACAGTGCTCACTTAGCATCAAAAAAAAAATTGCTCCATATATACTATCTTTACATTTGGTTTCACTACTACTCTCTCTCTTCAATTTCTTCCAACAATAACCAAAAAAAAAAAAGACTTTTACCCTATGGAGCAAACAAAAGGGGGGAGAGAGAGAGTACTATGCAATTATTTTTACGTCCTTTAGAATAGGTCATTTTATTCGGTCCTTACTAAACCCTAACAACAAAACATTTTCTAAAAAAACAGGAATTTTATGATTTAGTACAAGTACATGTCTCTTATGTCAGATGATAATCTACCCATCACGACCCAAAAGCAATGTGATGGCTAGGTGGCTCGTGTACAAGTACAATTGAGTCGTGCAAGGCCAAGCCAACGTGCCTTAGATTAGACATATGTGACTTGATATGAAGATATAATGTTTGTACTTGTACCGTACTTATGCTAAATTTTAAAACTGATGTACTCGTATTTGAATGAAATATGAGCACATGTAAGCCCCTCGTGTTATAATGAGCTTGTGATGAGTGATGGGTCAAGCCTTCTTTTATGCCGATAGACCTTCATGTTCGCCCGATGTCCAAATGGGCCCGATCCATACCTAGCTCTATGTCCCTATCTACAATTGAAGCCATAAGAAATTCTTACGCCTAGACTAGAGATGATCAACATTGGCCCGACCCGAAAATTGGGAGGGTTTGGACAAGCATAAAAACGCTTTTTTAGATAAAAGCCCAAATCCAGCCCAAAAAGCCCATTTTGATTCGATAAACCCGCTACTTTTTTACAGGTTTGGGCACGAAAAATTATATTAAGGTCTAGCCCGACCTGATTTTTTATCACCTCTAGCCTTAACCAAGCGAAACGTGGAAGGAGGGAGAAGTATCATTTTGATATTGCACAAAGTACAAAACTGACAAAATTTGCTTAGTTGGAGAGCGGTGGTTGTTTGGCGAGGGTTAAAGATGTTCTAGTTCTACTGTTCGACCGAAACGCAAAACAAACAATAACGATTGTTCGTGAATCGTGATATTTCTAGGAACCACAAACTTCTCTCTGTTTTGCCTCATCAAAAATTCAAAACCTTATCTCTCTATTCGCTCAACCTTGAATCTCTGCTCGTTTCACATTTCTCTTATTTCCAGGTACGATTTTCTAATTAATCCTCTTTCTTGATTTTTTTAAATTTTTTTTTTTTATCATATAATCTGTTTCTGGCTTTCTGCTTAATCGCTTTGTCAAATTTGATTGTTTGAGGGAGTTTCATGGGGTTGGGTTGGATGCTAATTTGTTTAACAATGTATGAAATTAGAGAACTTTTTTGAAGAATTGAAATAATACCTCTTTTAAATTTAAACTAAATTGAATATTAAAGTTTGTGATTCTTGTACTTTTGAAGCTTATACATGTTTTAGGTTTAACATTTATAATGGTTGTAAGTTAGAAAAACGAGCAAATGCTTTTGGCAATCATGAAGGTGTTGAGTTCTACAATTGATGAATGTTGGAACATGTAGGTGTAGGTTTTACAATCTGCTAAGAAACTGCTCTATCGAGAAGTTATTTTACCGCTATGTATGGATATCGTGATCGTTTGGTGAGGCGAATAGGATTTACTAGTTAATCTCTGTTGTTTCGGATCAAAACAATCGAATCTCGGAAGATCCTTTTATCTTGAGGGAACTTGGTCTCGGTCCGAACGACGCAGGAGCCGAGGGTTTCCTGCACAACAAATACACGTAAACTAGCCTCGGGGGGGACGCCGAGGAAGGCCCCTCCGATGCTTAAGTCAGTATATTAGAGAGAGAAAGCTGTGCAAGAGTTTAGTTGCTTGAGGCTTTTTTGTCTTACCAAGAATTGACCAAATTGTTGGCTTTTATACCTTGGCTAATGAAGGAGGCGGATTGGGCCCGGAAGTCAGTTGGGCTGGGCCAAGCTGATTGGGCCGTTGACTGACCTTGACATGGCTTTGAGGATGTTGATTTTTGACTTTAGCACATTTGGAGAGTTGAGCCTTAACCTTGGGCTTTTAATTGGATCATTCAGTGACCAGGCCCAATTGGACTAAATTGGACCCAAACAACTTGCCCCCCAGACCCGATTTGGAAGGATGACGGGTCGGGTTTGATTTAATCAGAAAAGGAGGGAAGTGAATGATTTGTTAATCCAAAAATGTGAATTTAAACCGTAATTAACCCATGATTAATGAGATAACAACAGTTAATGTGGATGATTGCGGAAGTTGGATGGGTAGTGGGCGACTTAACTGCAAGGTCGTGTGTTTAACGGTTACTTAGTGGGGTGCTTGAGAGAAATTGAAACGCAGACTCCTTGAATTCCCATTTCTGGAGATATAAATAGAGGCGCGTCTTCTCTCCCCACTCACTCATCAACACAAACCCAGAATTCTCAAGAACGCTCAAGAGCCCGCATCAAAACTTCGCAAATTCCCCGAGCATTAAGCTTAGAAGCTGAGACTTGTCACTACCAATTCGTAAATCGGCGGCTTTTGCTTCAGATCAAGGTAAATTCCTTTGATTTTATTTCATCTTTCTTCGACTTTGCACTCTTTCCCCTTTTTCGACTTTTTCCTTCGAAATTCGTCAATGGTGAGGGGAGTTAGAGGTGGAGCCCGTGCTCCAAGAAGAGCAAGGCTAATCCCCGATCCCAGGGACAGGATTGGGACCTGGAATGGACGAAGGACAGAGTCTGACCCTGCTGAAGGGGTTAGGGCGACTCCCATTTCTTCGGCTCCTCCTCAGAGAACGGATGAGCCGAGTGCTTCTGGACGGGACGATGAAATTCCCGCTGTCCTTTGGGATATCCTCCCTGGGTTTTCAGAGTGGGAGAATGCCGAAGTCGCTTCGGCCATGATAAAGAACCGCCCCTACTCATGGTGGGTAGAGAACGCCGATCAATATCGATTTGCCGAGCAAATTGAGTTGCACTACGGCATTTTTGAAGCTGATGGATATTGGTGCCGAATGCCCTCAGCATCCGATAGAATCCATCGTCCACCCCCGGGGTATGTGGGGGTGTACACGAGACAGCTTCAGTATGGGCTGAGGTTCCCTTTGGACGTTTTCGTCCGAGACTTGCTGATCCATTACAACATTTCCCTGTGCCAGCTGACCCCCACCAGCATCCGAAGGGTAATGACGTACTTATGGGTCTGCAAGTTCTTCAGATACGTGCCGAACCTGCACTGCTTCAGAAAGCTCCATCGGCTAGTGCCAAATATTCAGAGTGGGCACGGAAGCCATGGTTCTGGGTGGTATCGGATTGAGTCCCGGCCCCAATACTTGACCATGTGGCCAAATGACTCTTCAGACAAGGACTGGAGAGGTCAATGGATTTGGGTTAGGGCACCCACGGAGCCGAGCCACCCTTACGTTTTCAGCGCTCCCCGGTATCTTGCCGAGCCGGATCCTGATATGGGAAGTTTAGGTCCTCCCGAAGATAGCGGGCCAGACCCGAACCTTAATCAGCAGAACATCTTCGGCAAGCTGCCGAACCGGGGAGGCAGCGGCCGAATGCAGCATATCCCGGAGACTTGGCTCCCCGATACGCACTATGTTTTCCAAGAGAATATGCTGGCAGCTGTCGGCCTCAGCCGAAAGTTTAGGGATGGTAATCTTCTTCGGCTGGGGCCGAGGCCTTTTAATTATCTCTTTTCTTCTTTCATTTTGCTTTCTTGTGATGTGCCGAACTAACTGAATTGACTTCTCCCCTTTTCTTTTTCAGAACGGGACGAGACCAACGTCGGCATTGATTACGCTCGCCTTGGCGTCAACCGAGAACGAGTCGTAACTGATCGGGCTCCCCCTATCACTGAACCAAGGCGCCGAGAGGTTCACCTAGACTCTTCCCACTTCCAAATTGAGGCTGTTGCTCTGTATCAGAGGCAGAAGCCTTGGTGGAAGAAGAGGGATCCCTTGTTTCAGCTGCTGGAAGAAGAAGCTGAAGCTGCCCGTACAGCCGAAGAGGTTGCACGGGTTATTGAAGCTTGTGAAGGTGGAGAAGGGTCCTCCAGAGTTGCTGAAGAAGCTGCGGCTAGGGCAGCTGAAGAAGACGAGGCTTTGCTGAAGACCTCGGTGAGCCTTTAGACTTAACTTTGTCTTTCTTCTTTTTTTTTTTTTTTTTTTTTTTTTACTCACACTCTTCTTCCCCCCTGTCTGTTACAGTCTGAAGAGAGTAACAGACACAGAGAAGGCAAAGCTCCTGTTCGTCCCGAAGATCAAATACAAGAGTCTTCAGACTCAGATATGGACGAGCAGCCCCTTCTGAAAAGGCGCCGAAGGATGGCCATCATCGGCCCTCATGACTTTCAGCCGAGGCCGATGACCATCGGCGTCGCAATAAGGGAACCTGAGGAAGGCAATGGATCGCCGAGGGTTCCCCAGCCAACACCCCAATCTCTTCAAAAGACCCCTCCGCCACCTCCTGAGATGGAGGTGGATCAGAGAACTCCTGAACCTAAGGGAGGGGTCCAAGAAGAAATCAAGGAGAGTGCTGCTGAGCACGAAAATAAAGATGCCGTGATGTCAAGTGCTGAAGGCTTCACGGCAGATATCGCAAGAGAGGTTGAGGCTTTCGTCCTCACCCCTGAAGAAGAGGAGGTCATAGTACTTGACTCCTCTGAGAAGGACGATGCTGAGACAACCAAAGCTAATCAAGCTCCATCGTCGTCCTTCCCTTCTTTCCAGACTCTGCATTCTGGAGAAATGGGTTTCTCGGCCCCCCGAATTCCAATCCCAGATCACATCTGGGACCTCATATGGGGTCAAAACCGAGAAGGAGCTGCAGCCTACTTCGGCAATTTTGCTGGCATGTCCGAAGTAGACAGGGCAAGGATCTGGTCGCTGAAGGCCACTGCTGGGATGGGCGAATCCAGTAGATCAGTTCCTGACCCAGCCAGGTCTAACCAACTGCTGATGATGCAGGTAATTTTCCTTGCCTTGATTTCTTTCTGAACTCAACCTTTCAGCTATTATTTTTTACTTTTTTAACTTGTGCCCCTGTTTTCAGTTCGTGCACAATCAGACTCTCACTGTAGAGCTGATAGATTCCCTACAAGATAGGGTGGACGCTGCTGTGTACGAAAGGAAGGTGGCTGAAGAGGAAGTTAAGCTTGCTAAGCTGAAGCAAGCAGCAGCTGAAGAGAAGCAGCAGGAGGTTGAGGAGTACGGTAAAAAAGCTGCCGAAGCTCTGAAAACCTTCTGCGATGCTATGGAGATGGAGGTTTTTCCCCCACTGATGGAAGGGGAAAAATTCCTCCAGGAGCATATGGGAGTGGACGTCTCCAAATTCAAGGCTGCTATTGAGAGCCGAATTCAAGAAGGAACTGCTGCACAAGCTGAAGTGCAGCAGCGTCTAGAGGCTCTTGAAGCCAGCCGAATGGCTGCTGAAGAGTTGCTCTTGGCCAAAGACGTCCAACTCTCAGAGGCTGCTGCTGCTGCTGAAGCTCAAAGAGCTAAGCTACAAGAGGCTGAGGATCAGCTCACTGCCAAGAAGGAAGAAATGGTCCAAGTTCAGGCCGAGGCTTCCCAGGTTCAGCAAGAGTTTACCGAGCTGAAAGGCTCCTCCTCCAAGCTCGTCGATGAGCTGAAGAGATCCGAGGAAGACTTGGAGGAGACGAAGAAGAAGTTGGCCGATGCTGAGGCTCTACTCAAAGTCCGTATCTATACCCAAGAAGAGTATGAAATGGGTTTTAGAAACGGGTTCAGAGTGTGCCGAAGGGTCTGCCTTCATGCTGAGCCGAAGCTGGACTGGTCCAAATGTGCTGAATGGGTCCAAGATCCCGAAGACCCTCACATGAAGTATGCCACTCCAATCGAAGCTGAAATCCTTAAGGCTGAGGAAGCCGAGGAAGAAGCTGAGAGGATGGAGTTGGAGGCTGAGCAGAGGGAAAGGGAGGCTCGGCAGAGTGCAAAGCCTGCTTCTTCTGCTGCTGGAGCTGAGACCACCATTGGGCCCAATGAAGCTGATCAGTCTGATCCTCAGGCTGAAGCATAGGAACTCGGGCAGTCGTCTTCAGAATCTTGCGGTTCATCATGCGCTCAACTTTAGACTTGCCGCTTTCTGAATTTTTGCCTTTTGTTTTTTTTTGCTTCAGCTTGCCTTATCGTACAACAGCTTATTATATT